CTCCGCTCAGTATGCGTTTTGCAGCAGGTCTCTGCGGTAGTCACAACATATTTTGTGCAGAATAGACGCACCTTATGCTGCTTGATTATTTATATATGAATACACATACACAGAGAGCTCTTCTTGTCGTGGATTTCGTGACAATATCAAATATACAACTATATGTTAGGTGATATGGCTGACCCCAGTGATTTCCAGCCATCAAAAACATGCTTAGGCATTTTATTTGTATTCCCGCTACTTCACCTAAATATCTGAACATTTTAGACTCAAGGCATTCTAGCCGAGACGAGACGAGACTGTCAGGAAAAAAATTTTAAAATGACTCTACCTTATCTTTTTGGTATAGTTTCTATTCTAGCATTCAAAAACCAAAATTTATAAATCTTGCTGATTTTCAGTTGCAATAATCTCAATATTAATAACTTAATACTAATACTTATATATTCGCGTAGTCTTCCTCCCACTTACAGATTTTCCTACTGGGTTCAAATACTACACGATGAATGTGGGTTGTATGCAAAAATTGCAATGGAATTTCAACACGAACGAACAACATAAGGAATTTGCTATGGAATTTGCACTAACAACGGCGACAATCATTGGTAGTTAAAAGCAAGTATGTTAAGCGAGTGATAAGGGCTGAGCGTGCCACATATAAATCAGCAGTCAATTGATATAAGAAGTTGAGTGAATGCGATTGGGAGTAAATTAAGCAGAGAAATATTGCGGTGGCGCGAGTCTACGCTCGGTTCCGACTGATAAATGTTTTTATAAATAAATAAATTAATTAATTTTTATAAATAAATAAATATTTAATTAATTAAAAATTATTTAAACAATTTTGAAATAATATTTCTTTCTCTGATAGAGCAATTTTGAAAACAATTTTAACAAATATATATATAATTCCTTCTATAATAGTTACTAAAACTTTACTATACACATATGTACAAGTATGTACGTAGGATACATGAATAAATTAAATTCCAGAAAAAGGCTTGAGATGTTAAATTGCAAATGTTTTAATGCGTAAGAATGTGGATGGACTTTTGCATAATAGCACCCAAACATTAATACAAATATGTGTGCGCGGAAAAATATAGTGGAATGAAACAAAAAGTAAAGCCAGGCGAGAAATTGAGGCACTGAAAAAACCTCCAGCTATGCAAGCGGAAAATAGCAAAGTAAAAGAACCATCAATCGATTCTCAATGAATTCACAATGGCGTTAAAGTGGTTTGAAAGCGACAGTGTTGGCGACCCGTTAGCAGGACAAGTCGACAAACCGAGAATAACCGCAAATCACACACGGACGCACACACACACGTACTGGACAAGAAAATCGACAAATCGACCGCCAATGTGGTTACATGCTCCAGTGATTCCATCAGACGACAGTGCAGAGAGTATTTTTGTAATCCAAAGAATGCGGATAACCCAGCGAATATGCGCAAACCAAGCAAAGCAATCAAATGCACATTTAAATTCACTCACACACTCACAGCCACAGACCACAAATCGCAGTGCAACTCGCCTATGCAGATATGCTGCGACAGAGGGATGCCTTGTACCGGCAAATGCGAAAGATATGTGAAAGCGTTAACGGCAGAATGCACGACCGAAAGCTCATTTGCACTGAGAACAAATCGATTTGCTGGTATAACAAATGAAACGCTCACAGCTAAATTGAATCTAATAAATTTATCTGTAATAAATATCTGGCCCTTTTCTTCATTTTCTGCTGTAAAAGCATTCAATAGTTTTTATTATGATGAGCTTTTTGAAATATTTTATTGTTCACGTGATTATCTTTTTGTTGGCACTGCAGACAAATAAATAGTTTTCAAAGAGCTACAAACATATCCGAATTGCCAAACCATTGAATTTATGAAGAAAACCATTGATTATTAAATTTTGAAATTGTACTGCTAGACCTATTTTAAACCTTTATCACCTCATTTGTACATAAGCACACATGTTTAACGTAGAAGTCGTACTTTTAAGCAATTAATGCTCTAGCAAGCATACCTAGCAAGCGCAGCACTATTTGTATTTAGTATTCAAGGCGTTCGGTACTCGGGCGCAGGAATTCAATAAATTTGCAGCTGACGACGTTATTTGGCAATAAAGGTTGACATAAGTATGGAGATAAAGAAATGTGGAATGTCAGCGTGCTTGCGGCTTCTCTCCTGCATTCGGCAGTAGCGCTGAGGGTACAGTTGAGCATTGCTCGCACTCAACATGTTCGAAAATGTTTAAACGTTTGAACATCCACGAGCATATAATATTTACAGTTTTTAGCAGAAATATTCTGATTGACTATTTAAAACAAAAGAAAGTATATTTTAGGAAAGTTTGATATTGCGGCAAGACTGATCAACTGAGATACTTAAAAACTTATATTTCCGAAGTGATATGATAGGATGTGTTGCTGGATGAATATGGAGGCTATTTAGAATGAAGCGCTACTTGCTGATGTTATGTGATATTATCGAGTAATGTATTAAAGTATGATATTATGTGATACGGTGTGACTTCGACGTCATAAGATATGATGTGATGTCATAGCGGAAGATTTTGATGAGATGTAATAAGTTATGATATGACGTGTTCCATTGTGATATTATAAGATGTGATGTAAACCTATTAGGAACTAAGCGGAGTTTGTGCATGTTGTAATATGCTAAAATGCGAGCGAGAGGCTATGATTATGAACTGATAAGATGTCATGTGACCTTATGTGGTAATTTTTGATATGTTGGGATATGACGAGATATAATATGGCAAATTTTCATCTGATGTAAAGTGCAGAGCGACGATGTGATGTGATGGTAATAAAAAGCTGTTCGGAGATAAATGTTGTTTTTCGTGATGTGATATTATACGACAAGATGTAAAGCGATGAGATGTCTTATGATAGTATGTGGTGTCATATTATAAAATTTATTTCAAATTACTAAATTATCTAAAACGAAAAGTTTTTCGAATCACTTTCAATTACACGCTCTTTACGCCGTCATTGAACAGCAGACACAGTCGCACACCGCTTACAACAAACAGTACAAACAACAGCATCGCCAACAACAACAAAGAGCATTAACAACATGAACGCAGCATGAATTCATATCACTTCTCGCTTTAAGTACTCAACAGGGGGCATCGTTACGCCACACATGTACATATATATGTACTTAGGCATATTCTAAACAACTTTGTTGTCGTTATGTAATAGCAAATGATTGCGCCGCTTTGTTACAACAATTTGGCTTAAGAAAATATTTTTACACACAACTTGCTTCGTACTTAATTTGTTGCCGTTCGATTTTGATTTTTTTCTATTAAATGTTTTTTGTTTTCTTTCTTTCTGGTTGTTTTTATGCTGAGAGCGTTTAGTGGCAAACGACTTGTAAAATGAAAGGAAAACATCATAATTTCTGCGTAAACAAGAAAGTGTACCGACGTCTTTACTATTCGTTGTTTTTATTGTTATTGTGGCAACATGATTTGCTATTTGCACAAAGCACACGCGCTCCCATTCGTTTTGCCTTCCCTTAACGATGCGCTAGGCAAATAAAATTTGAACAATAAACAGCACCGCCAAATCGGAATAACAAAATGAATATGGCTAATCGATGTTTGCAGGCAAATTGGCTAATATTATGTACATATGAGAGCAAAGAGGCCCCAAGGTATGAACTTGTGATTTGTACAGAAACCCTCGACTCGGTTTGTCGGAAGGGTAGGATCAATGGTTTTCATATGAGACCTGCATTTCCTTTATATAATTGTAGTGTAAGAAAAAGTACATTTGTATACTCTCGCAAAATGTTTCGCTCACCTAGCGGTTATTTGTATCAACTAAAACTAATCGAGATAGATATGGGGTTATGTTTATATAAATGTTGAGAATGACGAAATCAGTAAGAATCAGTGTAACTGTTTCTTTGTCCGTCCATATGTCCGTGCAAACGGACAAAGTGTAAACAGTAAAAAGTGTAAATTGAAATTTAGGGAACAACTTTTTTGATAATGATATCTCGTAACGTTAAGCTTATTTTAATTTAAATAAGTGTGCACTCAGTAAAAGTTAGCAATTAAACTAAGTTAATAAGCACCAACAAAATTTTGTAATCTTTTCATGCTTTCGTCGATTAATGAATGTTGAATTTTTTCGCAAATTGAAAATATTTTTCCGGCTTTGATGCTCACAGTTTCCAAGAGTATAAGATGTTCAGTTAGACACGAACTTAGCCTTTATTTATTTGTTTAAATAAAGTTTCTTGCGTTGTTTCCATGCCTTTCGAAATCAATACTAATATAGGCGCAAAAATATATACATATATATTAGGGTGGAGCAAAAAAACATATTTTTTTTTTGCTTAGCCTGAGGGTCAAATCTGTAGATTATAAAAAAAGAAAATTAAAACAAAAAAATTTTTTGTAACATCTAGACGCACTTTTAAAGTGAAGTTTCGAGTTAAAATTTTTATTTCGTTAAAAAATTTTGATAAGTGTTCTAGAAGATGTGGAGAGTCCTATTTCTGGCCAATTAAATGTTATCAACTTACAAAAATTTTTGTGGTCATTATTGGAGTTTTAAAAAAAAGTTTTAAATGACAACATGCTTTTCTTAAGCGTTAAAATAAATTTTGAGTGAAAAACCGTCAAATTTGGTAGTTTTTATATAAATGTGAAGAGTTTAAACCAAAAAAAATTCCTTTGTCTAAAAAAAATTTTAACTTGAAATTTACTTTAAAAGTGGGCCTCTAGATGTTAAAAAATTTTTGTTTTCATTTTCCAAAAATTTCCTTTTTTTATAATCTACAGATTTGACCTTCAGGCTAAGCAAACAGAAATTTGTTTTTCGCTCCACCCTAATATATATGTATATACAAATGTATGTATATATATAGGTATATACGTAGTACGTATTGTTGAAATTCGCTTAATCGAATGTTTTGAATAAAAGAATTTGGTTAATTGCATGCCAAACATTTCGTTTTTTTCCACACTCAAAAGCACATGTTTATAGAAAAATAATCAAATATTTTTTTCACATTTTTCAAATAATTTCAGAAATTGCATTTTATTTGTTTCTTCGGTTTGTTTACAGTTGTATTTTTTGTTTTCTTTAATTTTTTGTTAGTGCACCTTTGTTTTTGCTTTTAGTTCTTGATTTCTGCCGCAGGTAAAAATACTCAGTACTATTTTAGCGGTTGGCATTTAGAATTCAATTCAATTTGCATTTGGCGCCGCTTTGATTGCAATTTTGATTGCTTGACTATTGTCGGAACTCATACTCCAATTTCAATGGATTCCGTGGCGAATTTTGTATGATCGAATATTTGCTTCGGCGTTAGCGAGTTGAGGAAGGTCTGCGGCTATCGAATGTTGGAATAGCTAAAACTTTGAACGTAGAGAAACAACTACACAATTATATAATACCAATAAGATATATTCGAAATTTGTGGTTTTTGTAATATATATACGTAAACGAGCTATATGCTTTATTACAAAGAAGAGATTACTGTAAATAAAAAAATTCCAACTGAGAATATTAGCGACAAGATTGTGGTGTATGAACTGTCAAACTTTCAAACTGTCATGTATTTAAAAAGTCGAAAAAATTAATAAAAAAATTACTGTAATTCCAAGATTATTCGAAACTCGTCGCAGCAAATGCTGAGGAAGCTTATAGAAAGCACAAATGAAGGAATGGATTACTTAAAACCAAAAGTATTGAGCTAAAAAAAAACAACAGTTTAAGAAAATAAACAATATTTATCCATAATAGACATTTAACTTAAAGATAAAAAAAGAAATTTTGCTATGAAACTCAAACCTTATTTGTTATTTTGCTTAAACTGAACCGTTTGAACCACTTTCTGTTAGACAACTTCTCTCAAACATCTCATTTGTTAGAAGCCCCATATATTCGGGCAATAACTATTTCATACGATTGCACACCATATACAAAGAATAAGCCATCTTGCAGGTGCCCAGGAAAGAATTCAGTTGTATAGCGATGACGCCACCTGCCAAAGGAACAATCTCTTTCAATGAGAGCTGCACGAAAATGCGTTGATTCTGGTAAAACTCGCGCGACTGCCCAAGCCAGCTGCACTTGAAGATTGCCGACGACAGTTGCTGGAACTCATAAGTCAACATGCTGCCATAGAAGCAGCTCGGCAGCAATTCAATAGCCATACTGACAAAATAAACCGCATAGTAAATGTAGGAAAATACATTGTCCACATAGAAAATCAAATAGAACAACACTATGCACATATTCAAGCCACTGGAAATGAACTGCACCAGTTGCGCCTGTGAGAGCGTATCCTGCGTCAGTTGAAAAATGCTGCAATGAAAACACCCAGACACGCACTAATCAACAATCAGTCATCTTTTGTAATTTCACCAACTCACCGCACCAGTTTCTTATGATCCTCTATGCATTCGATCAACGCGTGAGTATGCTGCTTCATAGATTTCTCGGCATCCGCACCCACTTTGGCCGCGCGCAACGCCAGCAAATGCACGTGTCCGGCAATGATGCAGAGGCTCATTGGTGGAAAGATGTCATTGGCTAGATTCTGTATGATTTGTATTGTAACACCGGCAATCTGGTAAATGACCGCAGCGCAGTAGCTGAACGTGTTGGCCTCCCATTGGAATGGTAGCCATGCGGGGTACATTAGACGGCGTTCCTTGCTCAGTAGCGTGGCTGAAATTGCTGCCATATTTGCGCCACCATAGGCGATGGAAAATAATTTCCAGACATTCTTTGCGCCAACAACAAGTTCCTCTTCAAAGTATGCGTGTTCCTCTACGCCCTCGACACGCTTGTCCAGGTCGGTGAGCAGCGCTTGCACCGCGCGTATTTGCGGTAATTTACGACGCAATAAGTAATGCTTCACGCTGCAAACGAAACAGGTAATGGTAATTGACAGATTTTGGAAGAGATCTGCTGGCGTTGGATTCAGGAAGAGACCCACAAACAAATGGATTGGATAGAAAATTGTCACCAGCACATTTATGAGAAGGTCGTAGAAGCCACAGAAGTATTTACAGCTTGTAGTTGAGATTCCGACCACCTGCCAGCATAGCCAGAAAGCGCGATACAACACCACTGAGTCCACAGGCTGAAAGGTTTCATTTGAACTCGCCATCTCTGAAGGAGGCCTTTAGAAATAACTTAGTTAGTTGTAGAACCGCGTGTAAATTATGCGACTTCTAGCAAATGAGTTATTTTTGTGCAGGCTTATATTGCCTAGCAGAAGTAGATTAATATGAAAAATACACTGTGCAACGTGTTTTAAATGACATTATTCGTCGTAGGCATCTTTCAATAAAATAATATTACTCAAAAACAAAGGCGACAAAAATATAAAAACAACATGTAAGGAAGGTTAAGTTCGGGTGAACATTTCATGCTCTTGCAACTTGCACGGATCAAATCCGGGGAGATGCCTTCAATTGATTAATTTTATGAATATATAATATAACTTAAATACTGACCGACATATACATTCAAAATTATTGTTGTTTATACTAAAAAAATGTATTTAAGACTTCTTTGTATACTTTCAATTACTTTTGTGCAGAGTGTATGATTGTCAGGACAGGTGCACCAGCAATCAACGTAGGCGTTGTATTTACACCGACTTATATTGTTTATGATATTAAGCAATCAAGACTTACACAACAGAGTGTATAATTAAGTCATTAAACGGGCACCTATGCGTAGCAATAATGAGACACTAAGCAGCTGTCAGAACAGACCTCAGACATGTGGGTTAAAAGTTTCACCCACTACAAAGAAATCTTTCACAGCCAAATGCCTAAGAATAAGCTTCGATACATTAATGGCTAACTAAATAAATTATTTGCAAACGCTCTTCTATCAGTGAATTTTTATACTCTCGCAACATGTTGCCCAGAATATAAAGTTTTGCTCACCAAAAGGTTGTTCGTATCACCTAAAGCTTATCCAGATAGATATGGATACGAAAGGAATTGAATTCCGAGTGACTGTCTGTCTGCCCATCGCTGCGTGCAAACGATAACTTGAGTAAAAATTGAGATATCTTGATAAAGCTTGGTACACGTTCCCTTGGCACCCAAGGGAAGGGTGCTGCTGCAGATGGGCGTATTCGGATTACTGCCACTTCCACAAAACACCGTTAAACGAAAACGTATAAGGCATAACTAAGCTCCTTATTAAAATACAAAACTGTTATTTGGTGCAAGTGATCGCAGTGCTAAGCGGCATCTGTGTTCTTAATAATTATTTAAAGTAGGCGTGGCCCCGCACTCTAAATGGTTAAATGTATATATCTGCCAAACCAATGAAGCTATCTCAACTAAACTTGCCGAAAAGAAGTCATTTTAGCTTCTTTTTTTTACATTTTAAAAATTGGGAAAATCAAATAATTACCACGCCCACTCCGCATAAAACGGTTATAATAAAAATTAGTAAAAGCGGGATAGCTCACTGAGTAAAAGAGCCACAGGCAATAAATTTCACAGCCAGGATGACAGGACCCACATTCAGGTGAAATCCTATATCTCAAGGACCACTAAATAAATTTCAACCAAATTTAGTGTGTGAGGCTATCCTATTATTAATTTTGCGGTATTGGTTGACAATCACGCCTGCTTCCCTTATAACAAATTTTTAAATTCTATCACTTTACAGTATGCAAATCAAACATCAATGAAATTATTAGGGTAAAATTTTGCACAAATAGTGCCGCAAAGTATTTAATATAACGCCAAAAAATTGTCGAAATCGGACTATAACTTATCACACTATACAAGTATATGTGAACATATCGGTCATTGTGTGAGTTCTAGTATTAAAATTCGGGGAGTATTTGTGATATCACATGCCCTTATGCCAAAAATGGGTAAAATCGGGTCAATACTTCGCTTAGCGCCCATATTCCTAATATAAATATTTTCAATATTTACCGATATATGTAAAGAATCTTAATGAAATTCCAAAAGAATCTTTTTCTAATAATAGTAAGTCTTCTTGCATTTATTTGTAAATAATGGATGCAATACTTCCAACTTTTAAATAAAATATATACCAAAATCCGGTATACAAGCAAATCCGAGAGTATACAATGTTCGGTTACACCCGAACTTAAACCTCCTTACTTGTTTACGCATATATTTGAGAAAGCTAAGTGCAAATCACTTGGACAATATTTGAAGTAAACATTTGTAACTCAAGTTCACTCATTCAAGGTCACTTATTTGTATGGTTATTTGCGTTATTCAATTAATTTGCCATTAAGGCTTGCAGATTCAATGCCACATATCTTTTTTGCGAAAAGGGTGTAAGTTTCGGTCCACTTAATTTAAAGAGACCATATGTAGTTATCGAAAAGGTGTCTGCTTTACTTGCAAGTTTCACGAATAAGTCTTGATAAAAATGGACGGTCCTCTCTACCACATAAGCTCATACTGCATTTCCCTCTCTTTCAATATTTAGGTTTTACCGGCTTTCATGAACATCTTCATCGTTTTCTTCAAAAATATTGTAACAACTTTAAAGGAAATGAAGTGAAAATGCAAATTTAAATATTAAATATGAATTACCATCTTTTGTGGCGATTTTCACCGCAATCTAAGAAATAAAACATACAAAATAAATCTCCAATTTTGTTTTAAAGTTTAATAAAGTAACTCTTAGTGTACTCCTTCATAAAACTACTCTTGTACAGATTTCTTCAAATTGTCCTTTATGTGCTCTAACTAAAAAGAGAGTTTACACCATAACTTTTTTTCGCTTTTCTTGAGATTATACAATAGCGTCGACAACTTTTATGCCGGTGATATTACCAACATCCGATAAATTGCTAAAATGCTAACGCTTCTTCCTCAAACAGCTGACATTGTATTATTTATACATCTAGCAGTAATATAGGGTGGTGATTGCGACTCCCAACGAAAGTAATAATTATGTAATTTAATTACACAACTCCACATACTAATTACAGGGGACACACGCACAACAACTTATCTACGCCGTCCAGTCTTTTCATTTCCACAAAGTTCCTTAAATACTAGAACGCGCCCGAAATGAACTGTCACAGTTTGCATGTCATCGGTTGAGTCATTCGAACTTCCGCAATGGACTCTAAAATCGACACGGTGGATATTTTCAAGAGATTTTTCTTTTTCTGGCGCATTTTGGGCTTAACAACAAACCATAATAAGTATTTGATCGGTCTCCACGATATTTTTGTTAACATTTTCGCGACGGTTGCCTTTCCTCTGCATCTGCTTTTGGGCGTCGTTTTCGCCAGTGACAAGGAAGTCTTTTTCACCAATCTCGCTATCTGTATTTCCACGGTTGCCTGCACAGCTAAGCACTTAACGCTACGTCCACAACTCAGCCAAATAATATTTGTGAATAGAATTCTACAGAATCTGGATGAGCGAGTGCAAAATGATGAGGATACGCGTTACTATATAAAAAATATCCGTGGGAGGTGCATTTTTATGATGAATTTCTTCACTGTTCTATACTTTTCGGTATCAAGTATGGCAGTGCTGACTGCTGTCTGTACTGCCAATGTCTTATACCCGGCTTATGTGATTTTCGATTGGCACAACTCGACTTGGAAGTATTTGGCAGTATTGGTCTTTCAAACATACGGCTTGAATATACAAATCGTGCAGAATCTCACGAATGATGTGTATGGACCCATGATCTTCTGCCTGATTGCGGGCCATGTTCACTTGCTTTCCAAGCGTATTTCACGCATTGGACACGAGAGCGAAACCGATGTGGATAGAAACTATGAAGAGCTAGTGCTTTGTATAGACGAGTACAAAGTCTTGATGAAGTAATCTCATTTTTTTTACCAAATAATATTTTTAATTTTTTCCTAATCTCCACAGCACAATGAGGAAAGTGGAACGCATCATCTCCCCTAGCTATATGGTACAGTTTACAGCTGTTGGCATTAACGTCGTGATTGGTCTCTTATATTTACTTTTCTTCGCCGACAATCTCTTTGCTTACTGCTATTATATTTTCCATATTTTGGCTATTATGACCGAGATTTTTCCCTGCTGCTATTATGGCAGCATGGTTCAGGCAGAATTCCATGCGCTGTCTTACGCCATATTCTGCAGTAATTGGACATCACAGTCAGCCACTTTTCGTCGCGCTGCTGTTACTCTTACGGAACTTTCGTTACGAGATGTCACTGTATCGGCGGGTGGCATGGTAAAAATTCATTTGGACTCATTTTTCAAGACCTGCAAAATGGGTTACTCAATATTCACTGTTCTACAAAGTATGAAGTAGTGAATTGGATTTGAGGCACACAGATGATCAAACGGGCTGCAAGTTTTGTAATTATTTAATCATTTTCAATAATTTGAACTATCTTAAATTTAAGTAGAAATGTGATCGTTGACTTTGGAATACTTAAGTAAGAAATTGAATAAAAGCAGTCACAACTTTCTACTTACATAGCTCAATATTTATAAAGCTTCGGGTTAAGCAATTTAAGCTTGTAATAAATTGGATTAATCCAATATAATTGTTATGACTTTGTTTGATATCAAGAACTTTTGAAGAGCTATGAAAAACTCATTTATTCTTAACATAAATATGGACCCTTTCATAATATCCCAAACGTGAACATTCCAAGAATTCGCACTGCACTTATTTCACGGTTGAAGGTCACATTAGCTAATTGCTTCACGCCCTCCTGCCTTAATTATAGGGAAACTACACATGTTTGCACCAATAAAGAGTTGAATTTGCCTTAATGACTTTTTGCAAGTATTTAAAGGTAATTCACAGTTACAATTTTGTCTTAAGTTATTTGATCTCCAACTAGCTCAGCTTACTCTTTTGCAAAATGTTACCGCAAATTAATACGAAGGCGATTTTTGTTCGACTGTTCTTCACTTGGCGTATACTCGGTATCACAGGTTGGCCGTTTAATAGATATCTGCGCGTGGTCTACGACCTTATGGTGAACCTCACCGTAACCTTTGGCTTTACCGGCCATGTGATAGTTGGATTCTTTTTCAGCACCAATAAGGATGAATTCTTCAATAGTCTAGTCATCAGTGTTGCATGCATTAATAGCGTCTTGAAGCATTTTATTCTGCGGTATTTTAAGCGGGAAGTGTGGGACTTAAATGAAACCATTTCACTACTTGACGATCGCGTACGCAACATGGAAGATTACGAATACTACAAGCGCTATATAGAGCGACCTTGTAAATTTATGATGCGTTTCTTTTTTAGCTCCTACGCTGCGGTTAGTTTAACAGCTTTAATGAATGGCTTAGCCACCGGAGAGCTGCTCTATCCTGGTTATTTACCACTACCATGGCGCACGTCGGGCTTAGCATATGCAATTTGTGTAATCTACCAATTCTATGGAGTCTCGATGGAAATAGTGAAGAACTTAGGAAACGATTTATATGGACCGTTGATATATTGTTTGCTATCTGGGCATGTGCATTTGTTAGCGAATCGTGTGTCACGCGTTGGTCATGATAACCCCGAGAATATGGAGGACAATTATAAAGAGTTATGCGATTGCATTAAGGATCACAAAATGTTGATGCAGTAGGTTCTTATAGTTCAATGTCTTCAAAAGTTGGTATAAACTATTTTGTGCTCCATATTTTACAGCATCAAAACTAAAGTGGAGCGCATCAACTCAGGGGTCTGTATGGTACAATTTTTTGGTGTTGGTGTCAGTCTCTGCATTGGACTCATATATTTGCTGTTCTTTGCCGATAACCTTTTCGCCTATATTTACTATTCGGTTCATTCAATGGCCATCATGACCGAGCTATTTCCATGTTGCTACTTCGGCAACATGTTGGAGTGTGAATATTATGATTTATCTTATGCAATTTTTAGAAGCAACTGGCCGATGCAGCCACGCATATTTAGACGTAACGTAGTGAATTTTACAGAACTAACATTGAAGGAGGTCACCATGTATGCCGGCGGCATGTTTCGTATTAATCTTGATACATTTTTTGCTACATGCAAGATGGGATACTCATTCTTCACCGTTGTACAGAGCATGAAGTAAAAGAAGTCGCTAAGTGGAATAAAACATATGAATATTAATTATTTTCTTGTACTTGTAGTCTTGTAGATTTTGGTGTTTTTAACAATAAAGTTGAAAGAATTGCTATCTCTGTATCAATACCTATATATATCGTTTTACATATATATGCGTTTAAATTTCTTTTCGACAATCTTGATATTTGAAAACTTTTTTACTATCGAACACCGTTATAATATGGTCTACATCTGCTAGTGTAGGCACCAGAAATAGACCGATTGTGAGATGTATTGGGTAAGATATGGTTACGAATATATTCACTATAATATCGTAGAGCGTTAAGTACCATTTGTTGGAGTTGACGGAAATGCCCATCAACTTCCAGCACATCCAGAAAATGTCGAAACACGCCACAGTTTCCACCGGGGCATTAACGTCAAATTTAAAAATAAAAAACTGTTTATCCATGCCTTTGCGAAACAAGCTTCTTCTTCTAAATTTATCTGATAGAAAATTTATCGTTGTCTTGTATATTAGTTGAGACGCTTTCTGCATTATATACCGTTTTCTCATGCTTAAATCACAAATTGCTTAACTACTATTTATGTGAACCGATGCAATTTTTAACAAATGCAATAAATTTAGAATTCCGCTTTATTGAATTTTAATTGTTGTTTCCTTTGGCTTCAAGTAAATTGATTTAAAATTATAGGCTGCGATTATGAGTATTATGGATAAAACGATTACTGAGAAGAGTATAAACTTGACATGTGCATCATATTTTAAAAATAATTTCCAAAGCAAGTGAGGAAGTAAAATATCAAGGCAAGCCTTGCGCTACTCTTTCAACACTATTTTAATACTGAAACAACCAAATGTTTCCTTTGATAGTTATATATGCCCTGCATTGGATTTATTGCTTTACCTCTCTAGCATGTCTTCGGCGTTATTTGCAATTCTTTATTTATTTGGTTTACATTTCAACTTAATAGATATTAATTTATTAACAATAACAGCTTTGTACACAGGAGAGACTTTGTGCTGTTTTGATGAAAAAGAAATTTAAGACAGCTCTTTCGGAATGGTTTAGTGATTTGTTTTTGACATTTTTAAATCCCATTCACTCAATAAACACACAAGCGTAAACATTACTCATACGCCGTGGATGGTATGCAAATTAAGGTATGCGTGTATATTAAAGGGATTGCGGATGTAGAAGATGCATTTGCCACTTGCTGTTGTGGTGTCTTGTCTCCCTTGTCTATATTCACAAACATTTACACATCCTTTTAAACTTACATTTGAGAATGAAGCCCAGTACTGGAAGTAGCAGCACAGTAAGCTTGTGTAAGGCGAGTGCTTCCACTTTCATGGCAGTGCTTACCCTCCATGATGTCTATTAATGAAATAAATGTTAATGTAAACCTTACACATATTCATTTTGACGTCGTTGACAAAGGTATAAAATCAAATCGGCGAATGATTTCGTAATGGTAAAAAGTCAGAGGGACTAAGATGCAACTCTGACTTGAAATAATTGAGATGGAAGAATCAAAATGAGTTAAAGAGATAACAGATACTTAACGTTCGTATGAAACGTACCGAAGAGGAACGAAGGCATAGAGCTATTATGTTAAGTAACTGCTGATGATGGCTGCTTAAAAACGCAAGCCATTTATAAATTTTTATATGCGTATTAGCATAATGCTCGCCCAAAATAAAAAAATAGAATAGAAAATATATTTCCCTCAACACAAAAGTCAAAATCCAAAACCAAAGTTCGATATATTGTTGCGGTTTTAGAATTTTTGCTAAAATCAGCCACCTTCATTGATGAAGCGCGACTTTAAATGCCAGTATTACAATTTATATGCAAAGCAGCAACGCGAAGGACAAAGCGCGGTTGCAAATCTGTACTGGTACTTAACGGCAGAAGCGTGTGCATTTGCGGACAAGCGTGTGTGGCATGCATCAAGTCAGAGACGTGGCAGTAACAAAATATTTTAGAAATCTTAAAAATGCATTCAATACCATGTTCCGAAAGACACTTACTCACAAGACTTAGGCTGTTGAGTAGATTATCCCACTAATATACTAGAATTAGCAAGATTTCGCGATACAAAAATGACAATTGTTAATCTCGTCACTGAGATGATTTGAATCGAATCTACTCGAAATCTCCCTGAGCGACTATGGTTTTACGCCATCTATTTATTTGTTAAATTTTGTTATATCACACCGATTTTGATACTACAAACTGTTAAAGTGAACAAAGTTAAACAAACATATAAAGAATAAGAAAGAACTTAATGTGGAGTGAGGCTGCCGGAGCCGATATAATAGAGTTGTGGCGATAAAAAATGCCACAGCATCGATCGGCTGGTCAAAAATAGCTGATTTATATATCTTTAACGGCAGTAAGAACAGTATAGATTAGTGAATACATTGAATCATCGCTTCTAATCACTTCAAATTTTTGGTGTGAACAAATATGAATTGTTTCTTGTATTTTTTTGTAAAATAAAATAAAAGCGAACTTAGGCAATTTGTAACAGATCTTCTCAAAGTGCAATTAGAACAATAGGTGTTTCATATTATACCTCCACAGTGCTCAGTCCCACAATCCACAACGTCTATGTTCTATATTTTTGCCTTTTTGGCAACGCATTTCATGGTCGAGTATGTGTGCGCTCCACTTCTCAACGCGAAACCATAGTTCTACACTTTTCTACTTATCCAAGTGTGGAAGGCATTAATAGCGTAGAACATGTATGTCTCGCTGTTGCGTTCGCTTAGTCTAGCGCTAACCGGAAAAATGCTTATATGTACTTTCTCAAGTATGTAAGCGCTGTTGTTGCTATAGCAGTAGCGTCAAGGCTCGTCTAACGAACTGACACTATGACAGACAGTTTAAGGCGTTTATTGGTTTAAGCAAATATTGATCTTAATATTCTCGGAACGTATGTAAATTAGGATAAGTGAGTGTGCTTGTTCGATTGGTTATTTTTAATGGCAGATTTGGTCTTTATAGAGCGAATTGAGTGCCGCAAAATTGTCTCAAATATAGCCGAAACTATTAAATTATTTAGAAAAGTATTCAAAACACATTTGAAAATTCAGTATAATGCAAGCAAAAAGAAAAAATAAAGTTCGGATGGAAATTTGATAATAAAACTTGTTTTCTAATAACAAATATATCCAGAAAACTGCTCATAAGCCTCTGCCACTTGCTCACAAAGAAATTTTATAATTTTTTAGAATTTGTATCGCCGTAATAAGGCAAGCATATCTCCTAAATAAACAGTAAAAAGCAGTCGTCAGTGTGGCAATGTCAAATTCATTATGCTTGTTTTAAACGAAATATTATCACCATCAACGAAAATATTATTCATCATGTAAGGTAAGAGAGATTTAAAGGATTTGACCGTCATTTTATCGAAAAATTTTTTAAAAATTACTTAAACGCTCAGATACGCATAAACTTTGACATTCAAATTTCTTCATAATTCTTACTAAAGCTCCCAAGTGTAATCCACAATATCACAATAGTATTGGCAAACCTGCACTTTGAAGGCATTTCAGCTACTCTTGAAGATAACATTACAAACCGAAAACAAAATTATTCATACTTTTAATTAAAAGCAAACCACAACAAGCTCGGTAAAAAGTTCCGGTATCACATGAAAGAACATTCCAACAAAAAAAATATATATATTGCAACTTATAATAAAAAATATATCCGCAAAGTAGTAATCAAAAAGTTCTTTCATACCTTTCTCCACAATGACGGCGTGGTTAGAGCAAGTACTCGTTGTCCGTGCCAGGTGTGTTCGCCGCACACACACTTACCGAAACTTGCACATGCCACAGCAGCTGCAGCAGTTCAAGGCAGTGAACCACCAAGTGGTGGCCGAAAATTCGGAGTCTGCATTTGTGTGCCTGGTTGCAGTTGGGTGTTGGATGTTGGGAGTTGGGAATTGGCGGAAAACTTTAATTCTCCACGGTGTTGTAGGCACCAGCAGAACACAATAAGCAATAAGCGTGGAAAAGCAAACATATGCTTACACAAAACAGAAAAACTCACATATTTATGTACACGTGGAATTGTTATTTTATTTGTGGATAAAAGTGCTGTGGGCGAAGCAGCAAAGTGCAAAAGTGAAACCAATTCAATTGCCGTGCTGCGCATATGTCTGCGAGTGCTTGCATACGTTTGTAAACATATAGGTATATACATATATTCATTATGTATCTCTATTTAAGTGGACGTTCTCACTGCGAAAATGCTCTCCTGAGATGCAGGAAAAATCTGTGCATGTAAAAACGCAATAGAAGAAGTTAAGCCTAGGGAAAGCATAAGGAAAACAAAAATTCAGACACAGAAATATTCGCATTGCGCTGTCAGCCTGTCAAAGTCGTTGCTCCAAAACTGAAATAGCACTGCAGTAGTGTTTCGGCAGCACCAAGGAAGATAAAGAAAATAAAAACCAAACTTTTCAAAACATCCACACAGACACACATTTACAAATATTTATCATGCAAAGTAAGCTTACAAATAAGCACACATATAAGTGTGTACGTGTGTGTGTGTGAGCTTATACAAATGCGAAGTTTATTTGAAAACAAAACGCTGATTCAATTTGGCAAATATTCAATTGTTTACCAAAAATTACGTATGTGAGTATTGTTGCCGTTCTAAGCCGCTGCTAGATAAATTGAATATATATATACAAATATATATATGCATATGAATAAACATTCATGCTTCATGCGAGTGGTTTTGAGCGTGTTTCAATTCCCAATGCAATTTATCTAGTTAATATATATTTATACATATATATATATATATGTATATATGCGGTATGTGTATATGTTTGCTGATGTTTACGCCTGCACACTTTTTAATGCGATTCTTTCGGCAACTTTTATCAATCGAAGTAATTGGAAATCATCCTTAATTCATATTGGAAAAAGACAATATTCATTACTTCATTGACATTTCAATTTGATAAACGCTGCAGTGAAATGATCATCTTCAATTGAAACAGAATGCTTAAGGGGTGAATTTCAAAAAAATCGATTTTTGGCGTATATATCGAATTTAAGTACATATATATTTGAGAATATTATTCGAAATCTGCAAATTTAT